CCCTATTTTACTTGATCTGCAACGCATGCAAATGCATCAAAAATGCATGCAAACGCACTGAAAGCCCATTTTAAACTAAAAAAAATTATTTTATTTTTTTTGTTGCAAAAACGGCCCTGAACGTGGCAAAACACACTGCACTGCGTGTGCAGAAACTCATACAGATCTGGTCTGCATTTGGTGTGAACAAGCCCTAAATGGAACTCTGAACAAACCAATATGTCAGAGGGACTCCATGCATCTATAAAATGCTGTGCAATATATATTTTATATATATATACAGTAATATTCAGAGCGGTTCTGATCAATAGCCAGCTGTGTTAGTAAAATAAAAGTATTTTCTCCCATAGAACACTACAACAGAAACAGCTTGTCTTCAGCTAACAAAACAAATGAACACAAACTTCTCCTCTTCACTATAACAGAATGTCCGGCTCACCGCCTGTATACATACGTCCCTTCTCAGGGTTAGCGTCACAGCCTGCTCTCAGAGGGTCAAACACAGACACTGGTGGCCAGGAATGTCTCAGAAGCAGTCCACAGCACCACACTCAGCCATGTCCTGTTTCAAACACCTCACAGACACTGCTGGCTATCTTCCTGTGTTCTTTGTACACTCTCAGCAGGTGGGTTAACCCTTACCAGGCCTGTCAGAGTTGGGGCTCTTTTCCACCCAATATCTCTGCGAGCCTCCAGAATCCAGGTCCCATTTGAGGACTACCAATCCGGGGAAGACTGCAAAGCAATTTCCCTTCTACAAAATCACCCCAGAACCCCTCACCCCGCATTGGTGAGAACTTTTGACAAAAGCTGTTTTTTGTTTAATCCCCTCAAAGGAACAATGACCTAAACATCGGGGAAAATATACCTTCTGTCCAGGACGCATTCCTGACATCATGTACAATATATATATATATTGTCTGTGGTGTTAAACACAATAGCGGTACTGTCCTTCTGGAATTTAAAGAGGCACTCCAGGAATTTGAAAAGTTAACCCTCCGTATGAGCTCTGACAGTTTGAAAATGTGCAGACGCCTGAGCTGTGCAGCTGTGATCGAGTGATAACGATCGCAATGCTTTCCAGGCTTGAATGCAAATATTAAAGAAATGCATATTTTTTTTATATACTGTATGTTATTAATTAGACATTTCTTTAATTTCTGCAAAAGGTGAACTTATCCTCTAAGGCCAGCATCATTAAAGTGATACTAAACTCAATAGTTAGCGTACTTGAATGTATTTTTTAAGATTTAACTCCTAGCACAAAATGTAACTTTTTTTGTTGATCATTCGGCTGTAGATCCTCAAATCATCTCTGAGGCCTTGTTCACACCGAAAGCGCGTACGTTCCAGAGTGGTAGCTGCTGGAACGCACCTCGATCGCTGAGAAACTTCCCCCTGCGTTTTGGGGCGGGGCGGTGCATTGTATTCAATGGCACCGCTTCCACGCCCCCCCGCCCTCAGTGCGATCGAACGCGTGCAAAACTTTGCCTGTGTTCCGTTCCACTGCAAACGCAAAAAATAGGGCAAGCCCTATTTTTTGCGTTTGCAGGGGGGAAGTTTCTCGGCGATCGAGGTGCGTACCAGCAGCTACCGCTCTGGAACGCACACGCTTTCAGTGAGAACAAGGCCTGAGTGACCATGGGGAACAAAAGTAGTCACCCTCCAGAAGGAAGGACAGTATCAGCACCAATTCAGAGATGATTGAGGATCTACAGCCGAGTGATGCACAAATAAGATACATTTTTGTTAATATACTTTTGTTAAGGTACTTGAATGTATTTTTAAGATTTAAAGGAGAACTATGAGGTGAGGGATTTTCACTCAGCCTCATAGTTCGGGCCGACGTGTGACAATGACACTGTCACACGTCGGCTCAATAGATCGGGAAGTGAGAAAATGCATAAGGTCGCTCGCTCACTTCTCGGTCATCTCCCTGCAGAGAGCAGTGACTGTCACTCATGGCTCCTTGCAGGAAATTCCCCCCCTCCCCCAGCACTGATTGGTGGAACGGACGGGGAGGGGGCTGGTACAGCTGGCTCTGCCTCTAGATAGGCAGAGCCAGCTGTCAATCACACAGCTGGGTGGATCTCGACAGAAATGTCGGGATCCGTCCAGGGCCGGTGCTAGGATTCGTCCCTACAAGGGCAAGGTGCATTTTTGCGCCCCCCTCCCCGACCCCCTGTAAAAACAGGGCATTTTGACAAGCACTTGTACTTGTCAAAATGCCCCGATGTTTGCGCTATGTTTTTGAGGTGCCGCGCATGTCGGGATCCTCAGGCAGTCGCCAGCCAGCTAAAATAGGACCCCACCTGGAGCTCCTCCCACCAGACCAAACGCTGACTCGCCGCTACTCTCCCGCACCGAAGGTAAGTGGGGAAAAAAAAAAAAACATAGCGCAAACATTGGGGCATTTTGACAAGTACAAGTCAAAATGCTCTGTTTTTTCCGCCCTCACCCTGCAACGCCTGACTTGCCTTGCGGTAGCGCCGGGCCTGGATCCGTCCCGGCGGTCTCAGTATATCGCGAGCTGTAGCTCGCGATATAATGAGCTTTGGTCCATAATCGAAGTCACCAGCACTCGATATGTGCAAGAAGTAAAGCACTTTTTATTCAATCGTCACATGCGTCAAACAGCCAACGTAGTGACCTGATACTGAGCTTTGGGTCACAGGAGGACGCTAGTATATGTCCTCCCGTGACCCTTAGGAGAACTATGGGGAGAAGCACTGACCCCATAGTTCTCCTTTAACTCCTGAATTTAGTGTTACTCTAAACCAACTTAAGCCCAGAGCATCACAAGCACCCCCCAGGAGGTGTTATATCACATTTAGCAAGGCTGGCCAGAAGATGCTCATGGTACCACCTAAGCACCGTTGTCTGCAGCTTTCAGGATAGCCAACGCCTAAGAGGAGTGAATAAGAGGAAGCAGCATTGTTTATTTGTAAAACAAATATTTTTTTTTTTCATAGAGTAAAACAGATACACAACAGTTTAACCCCTTAGTGACCGGTGACGTACATAGTACATGTTTAAACAGAAAGCCGCCAGGGGACTACATTTGTAGAGTCGGCTGTACAATAGAAGTGATTCTAGTGGCTCAGCTGCTGTCAGATTGCTTCTACAAGCTGGTAAAATGCCCGTTCCGCTGCCTCTCCTGCGGGCCAGGGGCCCGGCATCTCGGGTGTCGGCGGCAAGCTGTTCACCGATCTCCCCATTCTATGGGACCGGGAGTGACGCAAATTGCATAATTTACGGTCCCTGAGCTGTCATTGCTCAGCTACCGAAGCGGAACAATAAGCTATTGAAGTGTGATCTGCACTGCAAAAGCTTATTTAAAGTGGAAAGGTGACACTAGAGGTCTTGAACCCCCAGTATCACCCTAAAGGAGGACCTGTCACTGCCAATAGGCTATCACATGGGGGCGGCTTGTAAGCCCCCCTATGTGATAGCAATAAAAGTAAAAAAAAAAAAGTTTTAAAAAATAATAATAAAACAAATGTAAAAATAATGTAAGCGAGCACGCACATATTCACGTAAACACATGTCAGGCACTCTTATGTACGATAACATCGATCTCGCTACACACGTTGGGTATCACTGCATACGCCATTACATACAAGTGTCTGGCTGGCTGTATAGCCGGCCGATCGCTTGTATGAGGATGCACAGTACCGCCCACCCCTTCTGCCGTTGCGTTTTCCCGGGCACTGCTGTCCGCCCTGATAGAGAACACCGGCACAGCGGCTCTCTGTACAGAGGAGAGATCAGCAGTCCCCACTGCTGATCTCTCCTCCTTCTCTCTCTGAAGGCGGAAGTAATGTGTATTACACCACTTCCGCCTGTAGCTGTCATTTCTCTGGCTGCTAAAGCCAGAGAAGAAGCTGGTGAAGTAGATCTCTGCTTCATCAGCTTCTTTGGGGGTCCCAAGGTGACATTAGGGGTCCTAGAGACCCCTGATGTCTCCATAAAGAGGACCTTTCATTGTTTTAAAGCTAAAGCCACCTGTGTGATAGCAATCAAGTTAAGTGGAAAAAAAAAAAAAATCATTAAAAATTAAACCCCTAAAAAAAGTTAAGTCCCCCGCCCCCATGTGCAAGCACTTATAAACGTAAATACGCGTCAGGTGCGCCTACATGCGAAAACAACGATTACGCCACACGTTACATATCGCCGCAAACATCGCAGTGAGTGCAATCATTTTAGGGCCATCAATCACTGATAACACTAAACTGATGAGCGGTAACAGCTTTTAAAGCGTCGCCTATGGCCAATTTTAGGCATGGTAGTTTTTTGCAATTTCACGGACGCACGCAATTTTAAAGCTTGACATGTTTGGTGTCTATTTACCCGACATGACCCCGTCTTTAATATATTACCAAAACATTGGGTGCTGCTAAATGTTTTATAACAGAACGTAAGGAAAACAGGGTTTTTTTTCAACATTTTTGGTACTTTTTTCATTATATAGTAAAAAATAAAAAACTCAGGTGGTGATTAAATACCACCAAAAGGAAGCTCAACCTTCCCTAAAAAAAAAATGGTATAACATTTATTTCAGTACAGCGTTGCATGACGGAATAAATGTCAAAGTACTGCAGCGCTGAATACTGAAAAATGGCCTGGACAGGAAGGGGGTTGACACCCCGGTCAGCAAGTGGTTAAAAACATTTTTTTTTTCTTTTACTGTACTGTAGGAGAAAAGAAATATAGTTGAATGGTTAACCGAAAATATTGGCCCTGAGGTCATTAGTATACTAAAATGTAATGAGAAAAAAAAAACCAAACCCATTCCAGTTGACTTTGGTGTCTGAAAAGTTATATACTGTAAACATTTCTGGCCCGTACACGGTGTGAATTCTATTTGCAAACACCGATATGTATAGTAAATAGCATTTTAGATGACTTATTGTTTCTGTGCCTAGAGTAATCTATCGCAGCATCATTTTACAAAACACACAAAACCTAATTTAATAAAAATATGTATTTATTTAACAGTCACTAATCCGAATCCATAAATAAAGATGTCAGGATTTTGCTGATGCCTGCTGAGCTTTTTCTTCAAATTCTCTCTCTGACTGACGTCTTCTGTATACGTCATCTGAAATAAGAATATATAGTATGCATTATGAACTCTTCAAGTGTAGAAACTGTGGAAGAGCAGAAATATTTTGACAGCAGCAGGAAATAAAGAAAAAAACCCCATATGATGAGTGGCGCCTCCAGACCTGTTGAAGCACCTTGTAAACCAGCGGTTCTCAACCTGTGGGTCGCGACCCGTCGGGGGTCGAATGACGATTTGCCAGGGGGCGCCCGGGAGTCTCCCGCTATTAGATAGCGGCTCCCGGCTGCCCGGAAAATAAACACTTTCTCCCGGAAAGGTTTACTCTGCTCGATCGAGAAGAGTATACCTTTCCCTGCAATCATTTTTTTTTCTATCGGGGGCCGCCGTAAGTCAGAAAAAAAAAACACCATAGGAATGCATAGCTAGATTCCTATTGGCTATTTCACTTTGCAATAGCAAACTAGCTATTGCACCTGCCAATCAGCAGAGGGGGACCTGCAGTTCTCCATCAGGTCCTCTTCTAGTGATTGACAGCAGCAGAGGGCGGGTGCAATAGCTAGTTTGCTATTGCAAAGTGAAATAGCCAATAGGAATCTAGCTATGCATTTCTATGGTGTTTTTTTTTAAAAATTTTTTATTCTGATGGCGTACGCCAGTGGTTCTCAACCTGTGGGTCGCTGTGTGATTTCTGCTGTGCTAGGTGAGAGTCCTCCTCAGCCCTCTCCTAGCACAGCAGTGTCAATTCTCCCGCCACGCCGCCAGATATCGCTGCAGCAGCTGCGTCATCCCTAAATTTTATCGTTAGGGGTCACCACAACTTGGCAAATGTTACCAAGGGGTCCCGGCCCTAGAAAAGGTTAAGAACCACTGTTGTAAACAAAGGCGGGATACCCTTATGTCTTATATACCATATGTTAAAGATAAATAAACAAGCTGCAGAAGAATAATTATTAAATAAAATGAATTCCCACTAGCTACTTTAACCAAAGTTAGAAATGAAACCATATATGCTGTAATGCACAGCTTCCTGGCAACCAATGAGGCTGGGCTAACAGTGATTCGGGAGCTTGACGGCGGAAAAAGCCCAATAAGGAAGCCGAGAGGCTAGTTCCCCAATCAGGCCCGCCTTTTTGTCATTGACAGCGCATGGCAGTGAGCAAATGCCATAGATGCTAGACAGCCCACTGACAGCTATGGAATCTGACCATTGTTTTCTGCTGTCAATCACAAGGAAGGCTGACCTGAGGGGGAACCAGTCTTTCAACTTCACCATTAGGCTCTGACAACTGTGAAGCTGAGGGGAGATGGCCCTGATGTACTAGTCTCCCAACAGCATCTCAATTCCTCGGCTGCTGCACCTGTCTGTGTTATGGACACAGTGATTTGGCAGGGAGCTTAGTAACACTGAGATTTAATTAGGCTCAGGGTCATTGAGCTGTACGAAGGACAGAGTGTCCAGTATGGGCACTCCAGCCTCAGCACCGGCCCCCACTGTGACAAATTAATGTGCCTGTTTCCAACAATAGCTCAAAAAGATAGGATCTCGTGATAGTTCTGTTATGCTGTACCAGCAGTGTGCTTAAAGGGATAAAACATGGGGAAATGTCCATGTATTGTACAGATGTTCTAAATATGTACAGTGATTTCCCTGTTATAAAGCATCAACATGGATTGGTAGACTGCGGATAAATGAAGTTTCTGGTTGCTTGAGAGTTACTACTAAAAATAGGTCTAACTAATGCCATACCCCATACTACACCATACATCAGCATTGACTTCATATTAATATTGAAATACAGTAATTAAAAGTAAATAAAGACAAAAAGACACACGTAACTTAATGGCATAGATTGGCGACGAACCAATATTAAATTCCTTCATTAGCACCACACGACTCTCACCTTCAAGCCTCTGGCATACTTCCAATTATTCAGGTGCTGTAAGCTATAATGCCGATGCTGTAAGCTATAATACTGATACTGTAATACCTTCCCCCCTGTACTGTGCCATCCTCCCCTTGTGCTCCCCAGATCAGGTCTCACTCATGGCTGGCTCAGCTCCGTGCTGCCACCTTGTAAATGATAGGCAAAGCAGCCAGCAGCACAGAAATATGCTGCCAGGATCAAAGGGGGAGAGAGCAGCTCTCAGAGCGGAGACTGGCAACAGTGCAGGGGAAAGATTATTTCCATTCTGAGCAGAAAACAGGAGCGGAGACGCACATCACAGCCAACATTCCTACAGTGACAGGTTCCCTCCTGCCCGCCTCCTACAATCGGAGAGGATTTGCATAACAGTAAGTGCAGAGTGCTGGATTTTTTTTTTTGTGCCGGTTTTTTTTTGTGCCGGGAAGAGAAGGCTCAGAGCACAGAGGCGGCCATTTTCATGAGGATAAAAGAGGAAAGCTAATGGAAATGTAAGTTTCTGTGTTCATATACAGCAACTGAATATGACTGCTTCATGTACATTGCTGGCATATATTGTTTAAAAATACCTCTGCAAAAGGTGGAAATGGGCTTTAAAGCTTGCAGTTTGGCAAAGTACATTTAAACTAGTGATTAAATCTAAAGTCTGATAATAATATTCATACAAAAATTAACATCACAAATGAACTTACAAAATGTTTCCCTGCCAAGCCGAACATTGATCATGAACCATTCCATGGCACCACCCAGGACAAAAAAGAAAGGAAGGAATCGATAGATACCAAATCGCCTCTTCCCTGGGACCAAATCCAGGACAGTTCCTAGTGTCCTTCTACTGGCCATATTGGGATGTCTGAAAAAAGTAGAACATTCATGTTCACATTACTGAAAGAAAACAACAGTGCAAGCCAGTCCAAGAACATTACATGGCAGCAGTCATATGAATAGAGGAGTGGTAGATGTTCTGTACTCACCTGCAAGCAGTAGTGAAACATAATATGAAAACCACAAAGTAGCACAAATAGCAATGAAATGAAAGGAACGCTTCTGTGGGAGCATCTATGTGCCAAATAAAAACACTAACTAGAAGCTAAAAACAATAAGGCTTAAAAGAAAAAAATACTTACCTTGGACCCCCGACTCGGGGTGCTTCCTATAGGCACCTATGGCATCTTTAGCCTCACATCTGCGTTCTGGGAAAGTAGAGCACCCCATATTCCACAAGAATGAGCTCCAGCATAGTGCTGGAGTGACTCAGGTCTCAGATTTGTATGACACCCAACGCATGAGTGAAATGCATGACCAAGTTTACCGATTTCCCTCCCTGTACGATTTGTAATGAACACATATTTGTAACACTGTACCATCAGTTAAAACCCATCAGCTTATCTTTGCGAAGATCTCCTATTACTAGATAGAACAGGAGATAAGGGGATTGCTCTGTTAGATAGTTGTCACTAGAGCATGCTTACCTATTTTAAAGAAGATCTCCAGGATTCTAAAAAAATATCCCTTGCAGTGGGGCTACCCCTCACTGCAAGGGTTAACGGCTCGTTTTGGTCTAGGGGACAGAATAAAGATACGCTCACCTGATCATTGATTCAGCGGCTTTCAGCCCTCACCTCCTCTGCTCTGGCTGCAGAATATCTCTTGGCGTCATCATGTCTAATGCAGGAGAATGGACCTGTATCAGATCTCATGATGTCAGTGGTCCTTAGACAGCCAGAGCCCAGGGGAGAAGAAGCTCCAGGAACCAGTCTAGCAGCCAGGCGGGATCGAGGATCAAGTGAATATATCTTTTTTATTTGCACCCCTAACCAAATCAAGCAGTAACCCTTGCAGTGCAGGGGTAGCCCCACTGCAAAGGTTAACTTTTGAAAATCCTGGAGTTTCTATTTAATATCTACTATTCTGGAGACCAGTGTACAACTTTGGAATTCCCAAAACTAGTATTGCCAAATAGTATTTGGCAATACTAGTATTGGTGCCGATGCCGAGTATTTAGGCGAGTACTCTTACTCGCCCAAATGCTCTGATGCCTAGCCCGATACCTGAGCTTTCAGTATCAGGAAGCCGGGCAGCGAGTCATTACATGCTGCCCAGCTTCCTGATTGGCTGGGAAGCCGGCTCCATGCTTCCTCGTCACTTGTTGACGAAGAAGCAGGGAGACGGCTCCCCGGGAAATCAAGAAGCCGACTAGCTTCACTATTGATCGGGAAGCCGGCCAATCAGGAACCCGGACGGCGAGTGGTTACCTGATTGACCAGAAAGCCGGCTTCACGCTCCCTCATCACCTGGTGACGAGGGAGCATGGAGCCAGATTCCTAGCCAAGCAGGCAGCCAGGTGCCGTGTAAGAACTCGTTGCCCGGCTTCCCAACACACCTGGCCATCGCAAACTATTACCACGCAATGTGATTCCATTATGAAAAAAAAAAAAGGTGCACGCACTTCTTTGAGTGCAGTTTAGCTGTGGAAGCCAGTCCGATCAAATGAAAAAGCTGCCCTACTGCAGTGCACCACAATACAACCTGCCCCACCTCTATGATGTCGCATGGAAGAGGTGTGAATGGGGGCTAAAAGACTTTCAAATCAATGGATCGCAATGGGTACTGTAAAAAATAAGTCAAGGCAACTGGACTTGGTGTATTTTTCTTGAAGACGTTGCACTGGTCATCCAATCAGCTTTCTCAATTCAGAATGACTTGGACAAAAATTCTCTGGGAACAAATTATGTGGATTGGTGAATGTTGCTCCAGGTGTTGATGGCATTTGCATAATTGGAGCCTAGGAGGTGTTATTAACTTGCCCAGAGAGAGGTGTTAAAATAGCATTGTATGTGGCAGACAATAGATGTCTCACCCCCTCCCCCCCCCCAGTATTCAAGCTTGGCTTCTCCATTTTTACATAAATGGCCTCTTTCACACCTCTTTTAAACCAATCCTCCTCCCTGTCTAGGATGCGTACTTGACTGTCTTCAAAGGAGTGACCTTTTTCCTTTAGATGTAGGTATACTGCTGAATCCTGACCAGAGGGTTTTGCTCTTCTATGCTGTGCCACACTCTGGTGTAGCTGCTGTTTTGTTTCACTGACATACAATTCTGAGCACTCCTCACTGCTCTGGACTGCATACACAATGTTGTTCATCTTGTGTTTTGGCGTTGGGTCTTTTGGGTGAACTAGTTGTTGCCTTAGTGTATTGTTGGGTTTAAAGCAGACAGGGATGTGATGTTTGTTAGAAACCCTTCTGAGTTTCTCTGACACCCCAGCTACATATGGGATGACCAAATTCTTCCATTTGTCATGCTTTTCACTCTCACTGGTACTCTTGGCATTCTTTCCGTTTTGACAAATGCCCAGTCTGGATACCTGCAGGTTTTAATGGCCCCCCCGAGGTGTTTAAATTCCTTTATCTTGGGTTCAGTAATGGGTACGTTTCCAAAACAAAAGCCGTCACCATCCCGTGCGGGTGAAAACCATGCCCAGAGGCCAGTTTATACACCTACGATATAACGGTGTTGAACTGATTATAAAGCACAGTCCAGAATGTTAAAAGAATTGTCTTGGAAAAAGGTTACAGTGAAGAGATAGTTGATACGGAAAGTGAGCCAATTCACAGAGTGGGGGGGGGAGTAAAAAGTCTTGAAGATAACCCCCAATTTTAAAAGTTGGCCTCTGGACACAAAAATGTTCTTTTAAATATAGTCCTCAATAGCCACAAAGGATATAAATCTACTTTGTGTGCGCCTAATGGTTGTGCAAACCCAGATATTACCTTGTAAAAAATAGCAGTGACATTATCATTGTGCTGTACATAGCCCGAGCAGAGCTGTGGGTGGGACTATTTTTTTCATCAACCGCACAGTGGGATCAAGCAGTTGACTCAGATACAGCATCCTTTTTAGTCCAACAATGGTGAAAGGCGCACTCAGCCTCCTGGAGGTACATTTTCCCTCTCGTGACTCACAGCCCAGGGGGAAGAATAATAAAAAGGCTCTGAAATTGTGCAGACTGTTCACATTGTTTTTTCCAGCTCAGTCCAAATGCAAAACTAGAAAAACTGGTGCGTGGGTGCGCCCAGCACAGTGCTGATGCATCTGAACGCATTGCACTGTGTACTTTTTTTTGTTTCAACTTTATTGAAATGTCACAAGTGACATTTCATTAAGTTCTATGGACACATTGCGCTTACCAAAAGTACTGCACGCCATGGTGGTGTGAACTGTGCCCACCCATGACAAGGCAAATGGTCATGGATGGGCACATTTAGGCTCCCCTGGAAAAACGCATTTGGGACCCCCAATGCACCAGCCTTTTACAGGATCTGCGAATAGAGAAACTACTATTCCCATCAGCTACTGCGGCAGAGGGACTTCTCAATGGAATGCGGTAACATCACTGCACCTTTACTGAGGCGTGCAGGAGCCAGAGTATTGCACCCACAATCTACTGATCATTGCAATGCCTTAGTGGTTCCAATGCAAAAAAGAAAAAAATTGCAAATTTTTCCTTTTGTGAAGAAGTGTGCATTTATTTTTTGTGCTCTTCGCAGGTACCCCCAATGTCCCATGTCTGCTCGTCGCAGGTAATTGCCCCGTGTCCGCTCGTCGCAGGTAATTCTCCCGTGTCTGCTCGTCGCAGGTAATTCTCCCGTGTCTGCTCGTCGCAGGTAATTCCCCCGTGTCTGCTCGTCGCAGGTAATTCCCCCGTGTCTGCTCGTCGCAAGTACCCCTCTTCCTGATGTCTGCTTGTCGCAGGTACACTTGATAAAGGATCTGCTTGTAACATGTACCCCTGATGCCTGCTTATAACCCTTGACATACCCCTTCACATTGCTGCACTGTTCCAGTACCTCCTCTTATTTTGTGTATATGTTCTCCATACAATCCTCTGCTTGTGTCAGCAACTAAACCACTCACATAAAATGAACACATTAATAGCAGTTGCTAGAAGTTCGCTTTCTCAAGCAGAGGAATCCTCTGACCAGCACCACGTGAGGTACACTTACCACTGGCAGATCCCAGGTCACAGTCCATACACAATGCTGGGGATAGAAATGCCTATTCCTCCATCCATGGCATGCCCCGATAACCTTTCCCTACTTCACATGGACAAACATAACTAAACCCAGGGAAGTCGCGGGCATGTGATGAACAAACATGACTTTACCCTGAGAAACGTCTTCATGATTACACCACTAGAAGCAGAGCAAGCAGCAAACATACCCAGGGAAAGGACGAGGCAGGGATCCTGTTGGACAAACATGAACATACCCTGTATAAATACAGAGCTCTATCATTCATTGGCTAATGTAAAGCCCAATAGAAGTGTAAATCAGCTAAATACGTTCCAGTTGCACTAATACAAAACATGCTCAAACTAGCCCACGTGACGTGTGTTGAGTTCTGTGTGAAGCTGGCCATACACTTTACAACCCTGTAACAACAACCATGAACAGATTTGAAAGTGTTGGTGGAAGTTTGCGTCAAACTGTTTTTGTGACCTGAAATTGGCTGAAGATTGCCATGTATATTTCTAACATTGTTACTCTATGAGGTTTTTTTTATAGCGGTGTCCTTGTTAGGTTCTTTTATTCTCAACCGTTGTCTTAGGGCACCAATGTCCTTTCCCACACTATGTTTAAAACTAAAGCTAACTAAATTTGCCTGGCATTCCATTTTCGCTACTTGTCTTGATCTCTGAAGCAAAAGGGATGCCGATTTTCAAGATGACTGCTTTTGATGGTCTAGAATTATTTTTGCTCATGTGCTCTCCCTGTGTTAAGTTCAGTAGACATCGACTGGAGGCATGTTATGTCTGTGCTCACCTTCATGGACCGGAATGTCATAATGAGCAGCAAGAGAAGATAACTAGTGTCAATGTAAAGGTGGCCATACACTTTACAACCATTGCAAGACCTTAGTCTTACGATGGTTGTAAAGTAATTTAAAAAACGTACGATCTGCCCATCTTGGACAGGCAGATCGTACTTGCGATCACAGCAAGCCGCCCCCCCTGAGGGGCGGGCTTCCGATGACTGCAATGCTAAACGGGCAGTGTGCGCGTGCGCACACCGGCCCGTTCGGCAGTTGGCGAACAAGCAGGCCACTAACCCACCGAGAACCGTACGATTCTCGGCAGGTTTTCCAGCCTGCTTGTTCGACAGAAGACGTGCAACCGTACAGTAGAAACGGTCGATGCCTTCCATACACTTTGCGATTATCGTACGATCGCGGGATTTCACGCGATTATTGCACAATAATCGTACAGTGTACGGCACCTTAACGCGCACACACACACGCTGGTGTGCACTGTGTAAGGGTTATACATTGAAATTACACGGTGTACTTGTTTTATCATTTATTGCAACATGACACTTCATTCAGCTCTATGCACCACATTGCCTCGCGACGTGCTGCGGTGTGTTGAACTTCACCTTAGAGTGGATTTCCTTTAAAAAGCAGCCACAAAGTAGAAAATAATCTTTGCTCTTTGAGTGGAAGCAGAGGTCTCTCTGCAGAGGTCCGAAACACCCCTGCTGGGTCAGAGACAGATTACAGAGAAAGAGTCCCACTCCACAGCTGCTGGCAGTGGACAGGCTGTTCTATTTAGGCTGTGGCTGCTTTAGCATGAAAACAAACTTTTAAGTCAATGTATACCCTTTGTTTTGATGCACCTTGAAAGTATTTAGCCGATTGAAATTGAAGGTTCATTTAGACTTTACCAGGAACACATTTGGTTTCAGGCAGGCAAAACATTAAGGGCCTGTTCACACCAGATGCAGTGTGTTCCCGGCCGATTCTGGCCAGAACGCACTGCCTCGCATTGCGGCCGGCTCATTTTTTTGTGGGGCAGGAGGGGGCATGGATGCTGCAAGCACTATTTTGATCACACCGGACCGGACTGCAGGCACAATGTGCCTTGCGATCCCGTGCGGCCGGATGGCGTGGCTACGGTGCCATTCACTTCAACGGCCCGCCACACCCCCTACTGCCCCACAAAAAAATGAGCCGGCCGCAATGCGAGGCAGTGCGTTCTGGCTAGAATCGGGCCGTAACGCACTGCATCTGGTGTGAACGGGCACTTAGGGGTTCATTTATAAATCTTCAACCCTGCTATATGCTGGGTGGATGCCGTCTGCGCTGCACTAACATCACAGGATGTATATGCAATTCCTATGCTCCTCGGCACCATCTAGTGGCAGTAGTGCAATGCAAATGGCAGGTTTTGCATTCCTAGAGACATGTATGGGAATATAAAATACATTTACAGTAGGGATGCACCGCTTTGCTCATACATATGCTTTGCTGCAAACAGATGGGTCAGTGTGAGAAAGGTTGCCCAGTGTGAACCCCCTTAACATTAGTGATGCATCAGTGAGGAATTCCCCTTTTGCATTAGTATCAGTGGCGTAACTCTTTATTATGGTGTCAGTGGGGGGTGTTCCATCAACGTTTATGACATTCCACCGCACTCACAAAGTCAGATAGAAATGACATTTCAGGACCGATCAGTTCTCCTGCACATACGATCTGCCCTGGTACAGCTGAAAAAGCGTTGGAATGCTTGACCTATTGTCGGTCACACATTTCATCGCCAAAAAACTGGGCAGGATTACATTAAAATGTGTGACCACATCACCGGTCACACATTCTAACGTAGTCACAACCTTTGATAGAACAGGGGAACCCCGCCTCTTTTTTTTGGTGTCAGTGGGGAAAACCCTTTCTTTACATTGATGTCAGTGATTGAACCCCTCCTTTACATTGGAATTAGTACAGAAAAATACATTGGTGTCAGTGGAAAAACACCTTCCCTCATTACATTGGAATCAGTTATATTGAACTTAGTGGAGAAGACTCTAGTGTTCTCTGAGGTATTCCCCTTTACATTAGTGTCATTAGAGAAACCTGTCTTTACATTAGTGTCATTAGGGAAACCTCTCTTTACATTGGTGTCATTAGGGAAACCTCTCTTTACATTGGTGTCATTAGGGAAACCTCTCTTTACATTGGTGTCATTAGGGAAACCTCTCTTTACATTGGTGTCATTAGATAAATCTCTTTACATTGGTACCCCCCTTCCTCTTTCAGTCAGTATAGGTAATTTATCTCACCAAAACCTGACACAGCATAGGGTGAAACATGCCTGAAGGGATCTCTGCATTGCATTCATCCAGTGCACTATCTTTAGGTGCCAGCACGCTTATTTTTCTGACCCCACCATGCCTCCAGTAAAACAGATGTATGATTCAGCTGGATACGTTTCGCCAGGTGAATAAATATGGCACCATCAACATGCTGACCCATGGAGGTCCAGAGGTCTGACCGGAAATCCACATGTATGTGACACAACTAAGGTACTGGAAGCGATCTCTACTTGTCAGTACACCCTTACAACTATTATTATTATACTAAAACTGAAGAAGTTCAAATTGACATTGCTCTGATTAGACAAGACTTGCATAAACTCAGGGACAGAGTTAAAGAGACAAGACATTCTTAGTTTGGTTAGGGTCTTGCTTGCCCCCCTTGCAGAATGCTTCTGATCAGCACCACCTCCAATTACAATCCTTACAACAAAAGGAGAAAGATCTGGAAACCAGGCTTTCTAGGCGTAATCTATGATTTATAGGTCCCTCAGAAAGAGTGGAGGGAGCAAACCCGGTGGAGTTTGTGCAATCCCTCTTGGATGGCACCGATGGTTCAATGGGGTATTGTTAACCTGGCTCATGTTTTAGAGAGGGTACAAATTAAGTCCTTCCAGCCACTACATGAGGAATTTACGCTTCCTAGTCACATGCTGTCTCTCATTAGCTTCAGCTCCATTGTGCAGTTTCTGCTCAGTTTTGGAATCTCACTAATTCTATCCTGATAATCCACTGGTACTAGCCTTGTCTACGTGCTCCTCCAAACAATTGATATCTATATTGTATACTTCTCAACAGACCCCTGACACCTTGGTGCTGGCTTTTTCCAGGAAGCCTACGTGGGAGGTGGAGGTTGGCCCTGTGGATGATGAGGATTAGAAAGAGGACTAACCATAGATAGGTGTCCCTCATAGTTAACAATAGGCTAACCTACTTGTTTATTCTACATCGCACTTACCTTACACCAAGTAGGCTCGCTAAATACAAAACATGTGCCCCAGGGCCAGACTAGGACAAAAAATAGGCCCGGGCATTTTAGACTGAGTAGCCCAATCACGTGACCCCTGACATGCCCCGTCCTGTAACAATCGGGGGGTGGAGCCAAACACAGAAGCACAATTGAGGGGCAAAAGCACAATTAAGGGCTACAGCCAACACACAAGCCTTGCTACAACCAGAATACAAACCTTGCCACACTATGCAGATCTTGCAACAACCAACACACAAACCTTGCAACAATATAGGAAGCTTGCTGTGATATCCTCAGCGGATCTGCACCTCCCCAGCCGTCTTCCGCACGCCGAGCACAGTATACAGGTCAGTGCTCCCGAAATAGCGCTCAAAGTTCTCCAGCAACCCCGGCACCAAACCACCTGTTCTATACATAGGCCAACAACACCACCATACTAGCTGGCTGACAAAATACCTGAACAATCTGATTGGATGCAGGCATAGTTCAGGTGTTTTGAGAGCCAGCGGGGCTAACTATGAAGATACTGAAGCTTGGCCCAGCGGGAGATTCCTCCATCCACACAGTTTAGCGGGGGATGAAAGAATATGTTGCACTTTTTCCATCTGGCAATAGAAACTCTGCAAAAAAATCGATGTGTATGGCCAGCTTAAGAGTGAGCTCTTGATATGGTGGTTTTGAATTTCGCAATCCTGAAATATTTACAGAAAATATATTACAAAACAGACATGTGAAAGAGTAAAATAAAAGTTTTAAAAGGGAATAAAAAGTAAGTGGAGTTCACCTGGTCTTTTGTTCAGTGTAGTGTTCGGATCACTGGCAGTGTCCAATATGAAGGGCAAGCGTCACTGGCCCTCAATAGGTGTCTCTCTGTATCCTTAGTAGCTCAGATGGTAAAAACGAGCTGTGGCTGCTATTGCAAAGAGGGTGTTCCAAAACAAATTTCCACCCATTCAAAGGGTTTGAAGGTGTGCTGGAGTATTTTTATTATGCCCAGTGGACAATGCCAGTTATACTGGCCATACCTATATTGTTTTATAGGACAAGATTTTCAAATCCAACTACCAGCATATTAGTTAGCAGAATAAAATTACACATTAATTGATACCAAATTTGTTGTAGATTTAATATACACTTGGTCAAATGTAGTAATACAACACCTCCAAATCATTGGATTCAGGTGTTCCAATCACCTCCATGGCCACAGGTGTATAAAATCAAGCACCTAGGCATGCAGACGCTTCTACAAACATTTGTGAAAGAACGGGTCGCTCTCAGGAGCTGTGAATTCAAGCGTAGTACCGTAATAGGTTGCCACCTGTGCAATAAGTCCATCTGTGAAATTTCTTTGTTACCAAATATTCCACATGCAACTGTTAGTGGTAGTGTAACAACGTGGAAGCAACTGGGAACAACAGCAACTCAGATACGAAGTGGTAGGCCACGTAAAATGACAGAGCGAGGACATGGGTTTCCATGGCCGAACAGCTGAATCCAAGCCTTACATCACCAAGTGCAATGCAAAGCGTCGGATGCAGTGGTGTGAAGCACGCCGCCACTGGACTCTAGAGAAGTGGAGACGTGTTCTCTGGAGTGATGAATCACGCTTCTCTGTCTGGCAATCCGATGGACGTGTCTGGGTTTGGCGGTTGCCAGGAGAACGGTACTTGCCTGACTGCATTGTGCCAAGTGTAAAGTTTCGTGGAAGGGGGGATTATGGTGTGGGGTTGTTCATCAGGGGTTGGGCTTGGCCCATTACTTCCAGTGAAGGGAACTCTTGAGGCATCAGCATACCAAGACATTTGGGACAATTTCATGCTCCCAATTTTGTGGGAACAGTTTGGGGATGGTCCCTTCCTGTTCCAACATGACTGCGCACTAGTGCACAAAGCAAGGTCCATAAAGACATGGATGAGCGAGTTTGGGGTGGAGGAACTTGACTGGCCTGCACAGAGTCCTGACCTAAACCTGATAGAACATCTTTGGGATGAATTAGAGCGAAGACTGCGAGCCCGGCCTTCTCCAACATCAGTAGCTGACCTCACAAAGTCTGGAAGATTACGCTTCTGGAAGAATGGTCAAACATTCCCATTGACAAACTCCTAAACCTTGTGGACGCCTTCCCAGAAGAGTTGAAGCTGTTATAGCGGCAAAGGGAGGGCCAACTCAATATTGAACCCTATGGACTAAGACTGGGATGCCATTAAAGTTCATGTGCATGTAAAGGGAGGCGTCCCAATACGTTTGGCAATATAGTGTATATTTCTCTTAGGAGGTCTAATGTTTTCTAGCATTTTGGACCTTTTTAATATAGGCATGTTTGGTGTCTAACTGATTGGCATCTTCTTATACATTAATGTACCTTCTTTTTAGGAAAGGTGACTCCATTACAGTAGAGATTATGGAATATGAATTAGAATTGGCTTGGAAAGTTCTGTTTTTGGTCAACGAACAGACTCACAGATGTGTACTGCTCAGATTGCTAAGTGGACTGTGTATGGCAAGTCCCTGTTCTAAATGGCCCTATCAGCAGTCCTTTGAAGATCCTGGCTAGGGGAGGTTTATAATAATTCTGCATTCTTTCCAACTTTGTCTGTGTTCTGTCAAATGCGTCTAAAGCTGGCCATACACTCTACGATTTTCGTTCAGGAAATTTTGCTGCTGCCAAGGACCCTCTTTCAATTCTAGCTCAAATAGCCCATCAAGCACAGACCAATGTGGTTTTGATAATCATTTGTTAGCAATACTAACTCACCGAATTTCGATCAACAAAATAAATTTTCATTTGCGCATGTGCAGGTGTTCATCTTGCCACTAATCCATCGATTTTCTTACGGTTTGAAAAAAAAAGTTTTCCAGCCTCACCCTTCGAGAAAATTCGGCCAGGAGTACAGTAAAAAAAAATCTTTTGGTTCCCATCAACTGATTGATTATCGTTCGAAAGACCAATCGTGGGCAATTTCTGAACGATCATCAATGGGTGTATGGGCACCTTTAGGCGGGACTGTGGTTTGCCAAATGCATCACCTTCCATGCACAGACTTGAGATTGAAATGTGACCATTTTTGTTACCAACTTGTGAATTTTCGGGGAAATGAGTGCCATAGTGTAGAGTGTACAGTACTACTCTCCCATTCTTTCCACACAATTCAGCATTTGTCAGAACTCACTATTGTCCCAGCAGAGACTGTTTCAGTTATCCTCATCACTGCCAGTGAGTTACTCACTTTGATGCCCACCAGTTTTCACATTTGTCAGTGTGTTGCCAATCTCTCTTGCCTATGCATTGTCACAATTTCCTGTGTGCTAAATTATGATCACTGAAACTAAAGGTGCCCATACACCTTACGATTATCGTATGCGATCGACTTTTCGTACGACAATCGTAACGTGTGAATAGAGTGCCCGACCGACAGTAATGTACAATTGTACGGCTTTTGACGGTCAAGCATGTTTGAAAACTTTGGTGGATTGTACGATGTTCGCATGGTTGGTGGCGTTTCCGTCCGTCAAAAGTCGTACGATTAACACTGCATCCGCAAACAAAAATAATTGCGGTCAATTACCGCAAGTCGTCCAGGTGTTTTTTGTAACTACCTCTGATTGAACCTTTCGATAATCGGGGCAGGATGGGGGCGTCGTACGAAAATCGTACGACGGTTCGATCGGACGAAAAGCTTCGTCCGATAATTGTGAGGTGTATGGGCACCTTAAGACTCTGAGAGCTGACTGTATGCTATGGTTTAATCTCAGGAGTTGCTCCTCAGAATAACACTTTTTAAAGAATCAAATCTGTATTCGAGTTGTCTGGGATCCTGCTACAAACCAAATTTGATCCACAGGAGATGTTGGAACCTTTTCTGACTTGCTCATTAGTTGTTACTGAAATGTGTGCCCTGCCCAGCCGTGGCACTGAAATATTTTATATTTCACTTTAGGATGGATGTCTAACCTTTTCAGTTGTGATGAGGTCCTAGAGACAACAAAACAATCTGACTTTATACTCTACTAAATTTGGATAGAAATTTAAAAAACTTTGTTGGGCTCTTAAAAGATCCAATGTGCGCGCGCACACACACACACACACACACACACGTGCAAGTATGGTTAGTATGTTTTACAGAGATAGGCTAAAAGCATGGACTGTGTCCAAACTGCAGTTCCGCTTTAATAGCATAGGACAGGAAAACAAACATCTGCATAAACACGACAGGTGCTTCCTTCTTCCTTCTTTGAAGCTCATCCACAGACGTACCCGGAACTCATAAGCCTTGCAGCCTCTGCTACTGACACAGCAGCAGTTAGGCCTTTAAACCATCCGGAGATTGTGCTGAAAAGGAAAACTTTTTTATCTGCCAGATCCCTATAAAAATGCACGTACAAGTTTCTTCTAAGGCTGAGCAACATGTATTAAATGCATTCTTTTTATAGCACTATGGAAGTGCACTTTGTTTTTAGCTTGACCTTGGAAGAAAGAATAGAACTGCTATCTCTCACCCTTAGCCTGTACAAATCCTCAGTTGGGAATCAGATTCTCCTTTTAATTAAACTCTCGCAGAGAGATTCGATAGGTTTAGAATTGAACTGCTTTCATCAGGTGCATAAAGATCAGTGCTGGGCCAGAATATAGTGACAAAGACATTTAATTTAAAACAATGTGACACGGCGTATTCTACAACATCAATTAAAAAAAAAAAAAACAATGTAAATGTCACAGCACGCTCCAAAGTGAATCTTTAACACTAAATCCCAAAAACACGAAGAGATGTAAAAATGTTGTATTTGACATGAACTCAATACATAACAAAAAAAAACAAAACAAAAAGTCAAAATAAGCTTATTAAAAATGTCCTTATATCAAAATGGTCTTACAATGTACAGAAATGGAATAAAAAATATTGTCCTGGCTCTACAGTTACTAAAAACATTGATTGTTCCACAAAATTCAGTATGAAAGGAGAAAACAATATTGACAAACTTAGATGTTTTCCAGGTTGTATGCATGCCGGATGTTTAAGGTGTCTCTAAGCATGAGATCTCTGAGACGCCATAATGCATTGGCCATAGTTGTGTGGGCCCCTTTGCTCTTCAACCAGTGGGAAGGAAGCCGGCTCTCCTGCTCTTTTGACAAGTGGATGTCTCGTCTCCGAGCTAAAATAGAAAACAGAATCAAAATTAATCATATCCGACTATATCTAAAGCTTGTTTGTAAAAATCACAGAATTGTCTCCCATGTGCATGAACAAGCTGGGGGTTTCACCTTCTTGCAACCCTTATAAGCGGTTTATACCTGTAGTTCTCAACATTTGCGAGACCACGGGAGGCGTTTCTCTCACTTGGTGCTGCAGCTCCTCTGAGTCCTGCTTACTGCTCAGCTTGCGGCAAGTGGTGCCCTACCGGCGGATCAACTGCACTGCTGAAACTAACAACACTCTAATGTGTTTTACCCAAACAGCTGAATTGTAGAGGATTCCAATTCTGCACACTTGGATGAAATGCGATGGAGCAGTATATTTGTAGCTAAATAAAGTTGATTTTATTCAAGTGATGGCATCTGTGTGCGGCTGTTTGGGATTAAATACTTTTGGAGTGTGGACGAGCTCCTTTGGGGAACACCTGATCTCTCTCTCTGCACTGGGAAGCTTGAAACACCGGGAAGGAGCAGTGTCAAGAAACTGATGGCATTATGGTTTGTTCTGACAAGATTTTTCATATGAACATTTGTAGGGAAACCTACCAGTGTATGGCTAGGTGTAGGCTAAAGAGCCAAGAGTTTTTGATAAGACATTAATATGATTTGGACAATCTCCCTCCTCTCCAGTAATCCTCAGCACAGATTTGTGTGTATCTGCATCTCACATGACATCAGAGTGATAACATTAGGAAGTAAGCTATTTTCACGCAGCCTATGAGTTTTAAAATTTGGAAGCTTCAGAATTCAATTAACCCTTGAATACCAAATGAAGACCATGATTGGTCCAGAAAGTAACTCCTGTATACAATTAGATGAATTACGGAAATGTTTGGAATGTGTCTAAGCAGTTTTATAGAAGTAAAGGAAGTGAATACATTAATAAAAGCAATGTAACATTAGTACTTCATTTGCAGATCCTAGAGAAGGATGACATGTTAAAGAGCAACCAGGGATTAATGAACCGCTACTACCAAATAAACCACCGAATCCATATTTAGGCTTTTCAGACTGATCCTGGGAGGGACTTCAACATTATGTCACATGATCCTGTGTTGTACAATCAAATAACCACATTTCAGGAGGGTGGTGCTAGGAACCTAGGGACAATGAGTTGGTCTTTCTGTAGGCCTGGGCTGAGGATCAATAAATGGGGAAAAAAAAGGCTTAAGCACCCATAGAGAGGTAGAGAGCTGGACAACAATCTGTGCAAAGTGAATACCAACAAGAATAATTATTAAAATCATGCCAATATACTGCCAAAATTATTTTAGAACTTCCATTTTACCTGACAGTGTCTGGTCCCATTTGCTGATGCAGTTGGATTCAGCTGTTAATCCTTCTATGTATTTCAAGTATGCTTCTGAATGGAGTAACTTTTGAGTCCTGGGTGGGGGCGCAACAAACACAGGGGTTGAAGGCTGCTGTACAGCTGGCTGACTAACTTGACCCTGACCAGGATATGGAGGCGGGGCCTGCTGTCCGGAAGCAACAAGCAATCCCATCTAAAAAGCAAACAAACATAAAAAGTATTTCTCACCATCAGATGCTTTATTTCATATTCTAACCAATATGAGAGAAAAAAAAAGACACAAATCAGTTCTGATTTGTTACATCAAATTCAATATAGCAAGAGATTTTCCCAGTAATGGATTCATGGAATGGAGCCCTATGAAAGGAATGATGATTAAAGCCAAAAATGATTTATAGTTTTGGGTAGAGTATAAATGGTTGGAACTTTGTCAGCTAGTATTTTGCTGGGTAGATACACTCTCACTTTGTGTCCTGTTGGTGACCTTTGGAAGTGTAAAATGTTAGTTATTACTGTAAAAAAGTAGAGGGAAAATCTCCCAGTGGGGACATCTGTTGTGGTGACAACTCCCAAAGCTAGGACTTCATCTAACTCCTCAAAACTCTTGAGACACTTGAGAGTTTCTACCCCTTCCCCACTCTATACAAAAAAATGGCTGGAATTATACTTAAAATTAGAACTATGAGGTAAGTAAAAATCACTCATCCTCATAGTTCAAGCTGACGTCTGACAATGAAACTGTCACACGTCGGCTTAATAGATCGGGAAGTGAGCATGCCGTCACTCGCTCACTTCTCGATCATTTCCCGGCAGAGAGTCGTGACCATCAGTCATGGCTCCCTGCAGGGATTAACCCCTCCCCGATCCTCCAGTGCAGACTGGAGTAACGGACAGGGGAGGGGGCGGGTACAGCTGGCTCTGCCTCTAGATAGGCAGAGTCAGCTGTCATTCACGCAGCTGGGTGGATCTCAACAGTAATGTCGGGATCTGTCCCGGCTGCGGCGGTCCTAGTATACCGTGAGCTGCAGCTCGCGATATACTGAGCTTTGGGTCACAGGAGGATGCTAGTATATGTCCTCCCTTGACCCCTGAAAGAACTATGGGGAAAAACACTTACCCCATAGTTCTCTTAACCCCTTCGTGACTGACGACGTAACACCAGTATTTCTACTTAATCACAAACCAAGTATTCTCTCTTCAAAGAAGAGCTCATCCAAAATGTATTAGCCTGCTGGCTTCTAATATGACCCTTAGAACTCTGGTGGCAATATGAAGCCAATATGCAGGGGGTTCCAAGTTACTTTAGATCAAGTAGAATGCTATAGATGGATTGAGACTACTAATACTAAACTGAGCAATCAGATTCTAAGTGGCATGGCCTCTAGAACTAAAAATGAGAAGTGACAAAACAATTAAATAAAATTTGAAAGATGACATATATAATACGACAACCAAAAGTACTAACACTAATAAGACTGCCACATATAACTGTACAAAAAGTGGGGTGTGCCAAATGCAATAATCCACAGCAATGTCATTTACTGAAGACAAGCCAGATTACCAAGTCTGTGTGTGCAAATGTTTTCCTTTACTAGTGACATAACTTGTCTGCATAATGGTAGCACATGCCATAAAACAGAAGTACATTGGGGGGAATTTATCAAAACTGGAGCAGTCAAAATCTGGAGCAGATTTGCACTGCAACCAATCAGCTTCTCTGTCTCATTTTCAAATGTTACCTGAGCAAACTGAAGAGAGATGCTGATTGGTTGCCAGATTTTATCTACTCCAGTTTTGATAAATTCCCCTCATTGAATCTCACGTTAAACTCATTACCTGCTGATTGTATGGATTATTTCCAGTTGCAGGTGTTCCAGCCATGGAGGGTACTCCTTGTGCCATTACCCCTAAAATAAAAGGCATAAAGGATTAAAAATACATCATATATGTGTTCAGCCTCAAATTCTACCAATAGATATAATAGTGATCACTGCAGCACCAAAATGTGAAGTGTTAAATACTAAACATTTCATTTTTATACAGAGTAACTTTCTGTATTGCTATGGTTGAAAAGACTTGTAATTAGGCAACACTCTGACACAGTCTTAGCCCTCGTTCACACCTGAACGTTTTGTAGCGCGTTCTACGCTCGACGAACGCTCAAAAATATAAATCCCATTGTATTCAATGGTCTCGTTCCCACCTTGGCGTATTTCCGCCCGTCCCTAACGCGCTACAAAACGGCCCACGCCTGAAAAGGTACAGGTACTACTTTGGGCCGTTTTGTTGCGCATTTCCATTGGGATACAGCCAAGTAGCCTTCGGGGTCGCGCAACTTTTTTGTACCGCGAATCGCGGTGGCAGACGCGCATATGCAATACGCCTAGGTGTGAACGAGACCTAAGGGGCCAATGTCTTGCCCCTGGACGCTCTGCTTTTTCCCCATCTCGCTTTAGGATTTGGAGCAGCCAGATGAAAGCCAGTCAACCGAAGGAAAAACCATACCAATTCGAACCAGATGATTCCTGGTGTCTGCCATTGGTTATTATGTGTTGACGTCTTTCATCTTTACAATCAATTCCTATGGCTCAGCTAGTGAGCTACAGTCGAACCCTACGAAGTCGCGGTTCAGAGTTTGCGGCCTCAGTCATTTTTCCTTAGAACCCAACTAATAATGGTTTGCGGAAACCGCAAATATCAATCGCGCGTAGCTAGTTCTTCTTAAAGCCCTAAGATGCCGCCCAAACGCCCTGCACCTGCTAAGGCTTTTGTCAATGAACCTAAGTGCCAGAAGAAGTTTAAGGGCCTGTTCACACAACGTCCGTTTTGTGTGCTGACCGGCTCCGTACGCTGCTGGACTCAAAATGCATCCCAATGTACCCCTTTGTGTTTTATGGGCTCCAGTTCTCACGTGCGCAGTCCGTTCAGCTTACGACAGAAAAAATACTGCATGTCACATTTTGTCCGGTCAGGAAACGCAAACGCGTCCAAAACGCGGCAAAAACGCACTGCACTGCAGCTAACATACTAACAGCCCCCCTCCAGCAACAAAATTTTTTTTTTTTACTGGAACGCATCAAAAACGAACTGCATCAGTCTGCAGACCCGCACCGGATCAGGACCTGATATCATGTGAACAGGCCCTAAGACTCTCCAGGAGAAGGTTAAAATACTGGATTTGCTTCAGGAATTAAAAAGTTATGCCGCAGTAGCGCGCTTTTATGGCACCAACGAAAGCACCGTACGCTACATAAAGAAGATCGAGGCAGCCATCAGGAGTACCGTATCAGTCAGTTTCTGTGATAGTGCCAAAAAGGTAACGACCGTAAGAAATAGGAATATTGTCAGGATGGAATCTGCCTTGGCATTGTGGATAAACTATAAAGATAGGCAATGATAGGTATTTTTTTGACCACATTCAAAATTTTCGGTTTTTCACAATTCGCGGGTACTCTAGGAACGCAACCCCCGCAAATTCTGGGGGTCGACTGTACCATAAAAGCCAGGAGTGCCATTTTCAAGACTGTATCAAACGGTCACACATTCATTCACTATGCTGGTTGTTTATGCATTTGCACAATTTGTGGCATAATCTGCGTTTGTACAGCAGACATCAACATTGCCGCACTTATTGGGGGTTTTGTTTCGATATTGTAGAATCCTTGAGAAAGAAAATTTAAAGCAGAAGTTTGGGCACAAATTGTATTAACACTTGCAGTAGGGCTACCCCTGCACTGCAGGCGTTACTGCTCATTTTTGTACTAGATACCTGCTAAGGCTTTTGTCAATGAACCTAAGTGCCAGAAGAAGTTTAAGGGCCTGTTCACACAACGTCCGTTTTGTGTGCTGACCGGCTCCGTACGCTGCTGGACTCAAAATGCATCCCAATGTACCCCTTTGTGTTTTATGGGCTCCAGTTCTCACGTGCGCAGTCCGTTCAGCTTACGACAGAAAAAATACTGCATGTCACATTTTGTCCGGTCAGGAAACGCAAACGCGTCCAAAACGCGGCAAAAACGCACTGCACTGCAGCTAACATACTAACAGCCCCCCTCCAGCAACAAAATTTTTTTTTTTTACTGGAACGCATCAAAAACGAACTGCATCAGTCTGCAGACCCGCACCGGATCAGGACCTGATATCATGTGAACAGGCCCTAAGACTCTCCAGGAGAAGGTTAAAATACTGGATTTGCTTCAGGAATTAAAAAGTTATGCCGCAGTAGCGCGCTTTTATGGCACCAACGAAAGCACCGTACGCTACATAAAGAAGATCGAGGCAGCCATCAGGAGTACCGTATCAGTCAGTTTCTGTGATAGTGCCAAAAAGGTAACGACCGTAAGAAATAGGAATATTGTCAGGATGGAATCTGCCTTGGCATTGTGGATAAACTATAAAGATAGGCAATGATAGGTATTTTTTTGACCACATTCAAAATTTTCGGTTTTTCACAATTCGCGGGTACTCTAGGAACGCAACCCCCGCAAATTCTGGGGGTCGACTGTACCATAAAAGCCAGGAGTGCCATTTTCAAGACTGTATCAAACGGTCACACATTCATTCACTATGCTGGTTGTTTATGCATTTGCACAATTTGTGGCATAATCTGCGTTTGTACAGCAGACATCAACATTGCCGCACTTATTGGGGGTTTTGTTTCGATATTGTAGAATCCTTGAGAAAGAAAATTTAAAGCAGAAGTTTGGGCACAAATTGTATTAACACTTGCAGTAGGGCTACCCCTGCACTGCAGGCGTTACTGCTCATTTTTGTACTAGATTGTAAGCTCTCACGAGCAGGGCCCTCCCAACCCTATTGTTCTGAAACTGTATTGTACTGTAAATTGTATTGTAACTGTACTGTCTCCACTATTGTAAAGCGCTGAGCAAATTTTTGGCGTTATATAAATCCTGTATAATAATATAATAATAATTTTGTCTAGGTTAAAAAAATAATTAAAAAAAAAATATTACTCACCCAATCCCACGAGCTAGCTGGCTGTCACAGTGCTCCATCCTGGCTCTCTCTTCCTACACTGCAGCAATGGTATGTCCCTCAGCGTCCTCACATACTATACACTGTACAGTATACGTGATGACTCAGGGACCCTAGACTGCTACAGCGGAACGGGAGCGAGGCAGAAGGCACAGGTCTAAGAGCCAGCCACTTCAGAGGATCGGGCGAGCATAACTTTTTTTTTTAAATCTAAAAAACGGGTAGTTAACCCTTGCAGTGCGGGGATAGCCCCATTGCAAGGGTTAATAAAATTTGTTCCTGGGAGTTCTGCTTTAATCTAATGCTCGTTAGGGTTCATGCACACATGATTTGTATTCCCGCATTTGAGTATGAAACTCCTATTGAATTCCATTGGAGTAGTGTATATCACAGTTTCGAAGCTGCTTTATATTTCTTCAGAAGCAGAATGTCCTGTTGATGTGCATTTGAATTGCCAGCACAGAAGGTCAAGAACAAGGACGAGAATGGCCATCAACATTATAGACCATATACTTGACATGCCTCCTAATTATAAATGAGTTGCATTACACACACCCATTTGACACCATGTGCTGGTTTGCAGCAGCTGAATGTGAAATTCAAATTGCAAGGAAAATCTGCAGATCCCATGGAGTTGTCTGAAATGTTTTCCCTCTCTAATCTATGAGCATGACTTTTCTTTGTACTAATACTTCAGTTCTTGCATTAGTTACATCCAGTGGATCCCCACCTTATTTGTCACGGTGCCATATCCACAGAAGTGTTAAGCTGGCCATACACTGTGTGAATTTCAGACGCTTCTTGATGAACTGACAGAAATTCGCACAGTGGCATCCTTCCATCCAGCATGTTTCAATCAGAAGATCGAAAAAGGAGCTCTATGGAACATTTACAGGCAAGCAATGATGGCAGCCAAAAAGCTGCCACCACTGGTCAGGTATTCCGACAGCGGCACACTTGCCGCTGTCAGAATACAAAGGACACAGTAGGAGATTCGTTCATCCCCGTTGTTTCGTGTGGATGGAGGAATCTGTATGGCCAGCCTAAGGTGCACATTTCTGGCAGATGAGGAGTGCAGATGCAGACATAAGGACTTGAATCTAATTCAGCTATTTCAAGAATCCAAACAGAGGGTCATCAAAATTTACAAACTACACTCGCCCTACCCATTTACATTGAAAGGAGTTACTCTTAAATAGATTAGGGTTGAAGTAGATAGGCCTTGGTGCTGTGCAGGGATTGGTCTGAATATTTACAGGCAGCACTAAAATGTCATCTTTGAACAAGCAAAAACTTAACAGAGAACTATTGGGTAACCTTTCTATCCCATAGGTCTCTTAAGGGTCACGGGAGGACATATACTATCCTCCTCCCGTGACTCAAAGCTCAGTATATAGTGAGCTATTGCTCACTATAGACTCATACTCAGAGAGCCGCAGCCGGGACGGATCCCGACATTGCTGTCGAGATCCACCCAGCTGCGTGAGTGACAGCTGGCTCTGCCTATCTAGAGTCAGAGCCAGCTGTACTCGCCCCTTCCCCGTCTGTTCCTCCAGTCAGCGCTGGAGGATCGGAGCGGGGAGGGGAGGATCGGAGCGGGGAGGGGGGGATCCCTGCGGGGAGCGGAGACTGAAAGTCACTGCTCTCTGCAGGGAGATGATCAGAAAGTGAGCGAGCGACGGCATGTGTTCGCTCACTTCCTGATCTATAGAGCCGATGTGTGACAGTTTCATTGTCACACATCGGCTGGAACTATGAGGTTGAGTGAAAATCACTCACCTCATAGTTCTCCTTTAATGTTTACAGTGGGTGAGTGTCAGCCGCCAGTACTATATTATGCAAAAGTAGGTGCTTATTGTATTGTACTTTACAGGATAATCCACAAGCATCCCATCTTCACGTCTTTGGGGGG